TGTATACGGTTCCGAAGGTACCGCCGGCTAAAATAATCAAGAGAAATTGGCAACCCTGTTACTCGTAAAGTTGCAAATATTGGATTGCTAGTAAAACTACTCAAATTGAAAGACTTGCACTATCTTCGAAAAGTAGTGCACGGAGAGCGAACGCACCTAATTTCTCCAGAATCTGATACTTGAACGGTGCAGTTTTCGATGGGTCCATGTAGTTCTCCATTCTGAACTCATCATGCTTCCTCGTCACCACACGTCCCATAGGATAAGCAGACTGCAATGAACAATTTTTTTGTAGCAGATAACTGCAAATCAGACGAAGAAAAATCAGAGGCAGTTACAATACTTGAAGAAAACCCTTGTGGAAAAATGGAAGTATAATATATCCGGGACCGATCGTATCGGTTTTGCGTCATAAGGTACGCCCTTGGGCCGTTCACCGTAAAGATCATGGCTGCTTCAATGCAAGAGCAGCTTCGTCATGTTGGGACGGATAGACGAGAAATTGAGACTCATGTCCCTCATACGGCCCTGCTCTTCAACGGTCGATGGTGCCGTGTCATCGAGCCTGCTACTTCCTGACCCACTCCCACAACCCCGCAAAGCTCAAAAGTCAATCAAACAAGAGTGAGGGAGTGAGGAGGAATGGTTAGCTTCACACACTGCGAGCCCTGCCCTACCGTACCCTTCTGTAACTCTGAATATACCTTCAAAAAATCAAGAATACGATCCTTCCCATCCAACTTGCTACAACGGACGGGTGATCCTGTTTCCAGGACTACAAACCTGGAAGAAACTCTGCTTTTCTACCATTGCCATAAGTGACGTCCCCATTCGTTCTTCATCATTTCCGACTATTTCGTCCTGATGCTCAAACTTTTCGTACTCCAACGCGGGATCCCACTTCAAAATTTAAACAAGCAGCGGAAAAAAGCCCCATTTAGGCAGAAATCAACTGTAGCTTTGTACTTTTTTCATGTCGCCACATAGCCCCCAAAAATTCTGAAACATTTGTATTCTACTACCCCACTCTGCAGTCCTTGAATATGCTTTTCAAATATGCCTGAATCATGACTGGGACTATAATTCTGTGGCTTACATAAATTCGCATAAAATCGCGATTTCATACGGATATTGAAAACTGCAGAGTGACTGAAAATCAATCATATAGGAGTAATCGAAATCTGATTCGGGTCCATCGTAGATGCTTCCACTTCCACAGAAGCATACGGTCAGAAACTGATAACCTACTCTTTTTGCCACCTTCGCGTCTGTTTCTAATGCGGCAGCTTCAAGTCTCGCCCGACGAGATTCAAGCGACACTTTTTTCAGCTTTGACGAGATCTCATCTGAAGTTTTTCGCGAGCTCATCGTGGAACTTCGACGTCTGGGTGTCACCGTTATAGCATCCTTGTCACCAAGCACAAGTCTTTTACATTCTTCAACATCAGCTTTCAGAACCTGAAAGAGCTTCAGCTCATTTCATCCTGGAACC